CATATAGTGCTAAGTAGAGATTTTATATGAATCATGGACGAGTTTTCTTCTAGAAGGCTACTGCAAAAATAGTATCTATCTGAGCTGTGGGCTTTGCACTAGTTATTTTTTCCTTTTCTAGTTTCAGCAAACACTGCAATACTGACGTCACCACCTGGGCCCACATGATTGCAACTAAGAGATGTAGTTGTGGGGCATGAAAGCAGTTGACATAGATAGACCTTTGGACTTTGGAGAACCAAATCTGAAAAGCTATTAAGGGTGGAGAGCCTAAGTTCATATAAACCCCGCAAGGAAATCTCATACACTGTGAGATCCAAGTTCCATCTCTTACAATTAGGAACATATCATGAAGACTTAGAAAATAAGAAAGGAACTCACAGGAAACGAAATTTGGATTCCATACCATGTAAGAAAATAGATTATTTTATTGAATTTACTTGCGTGGGACAATGGAACAAGCCTATGTATCTGTGCACAACTACTGCCATAACTAGGAAACTATCTACATCCTACCGATGAGCCCTTGGTATTCTAACAATTAGTCCTAAAATCAAGGTCCTAAAATGTCGATTAAAGAGTAATCAACATAGTGGAGAAGAGAAAAGTCTTAAACGTATATTGATAGGTGAAAGTACATCTTGCTTTTATAGGAAAAGTTAAGAGTAAATTTTCTATTATAAATAAACTACCTAGTAGTTATCCTTATCTATTTAACTTTCTAAGAATTAGTATTATATTAAATTACTAACTAATAAGACTTATCGCATAACCTACACTCCCCCTCAAGTTGGGGAGTAAATGTTGAAAAGACCCAATTTGGATGTAATCTCATCAAAGGAAATTCTTGGAAGTGACTTGGTGAAAATATTTGCTAACTGATTATTTGTTGAAACAAAATTGAGCTTCACCGATCCACCATTCACCTTTTCAGAGATGAAATGTTTGTCGATCTCCACATGCTTCGTTTGATCATGATGAACTAGATTTTTTACAATACTTATTGCAGATTTACTGTCACTTTGAAGTTAAAAACATTTGTTGGCATATAGTCCCAGCTCAGTTAACAGTCTTTGAAGCCAAATTCCTTCACAAATTCCAAGTGTCATTGCTCTAAATTCTGCTTCTGCACTACTTCGAGACACCACAACCTATTTTTTGCTCCTCCAAGTAACCATATTTCCCCAAACAAATGAACAATAACCAGTTGTAGATCTCATATCCGTTAATTCACCTGCCCAGCTTGAATCCGAAAAAATTCTTACTGTTCTATCATCACTCTTTCTGAAAATTAACCCATGTCCTGGTGTCATTTTCAAGTATCTTAGAATTCTATTCACCGCCTCTAAATGTTCTTCCCTTGGATCATTCATATATTGACTCACTGTACTAACAGGGAATACAATATCAGGTCTAGTAAATGATAAATAAATTAGTTTACCTACTAGCCTTTGATATTGTTCTTTGTTCACGGGACTTCCCAATTCTTCTCTCCTTAGCTTAAGATTTGCTTCCATGGGTGTTTCTGCCTGCTTACATCCCTTCATTCCAGTTTTTTATAGTAGATCAAGAATATATTTCCTTTGATTAATCACTATTCATTCTTTTGACCTTGCAACCTCTATGCCTAAGAAATACCGTAAAGTTCCCAAGTCTTTGGTTTTGAACTCCTTTTCCAGTAGCTTTTTTAGTCTTTTTATTTCCATACAATCATCACCTATTAGAATGATATCATCCACATAGACAATCAAAAAAAAAATTGTTCGAAGTTGTTTTGACAAATAAAGTGTAATCCGATTGACATTACTTGTAACCATCCTGAATAATCACCTTTTTAAATCAGTCAAACCAGGCTCATGGAGATTGCTTAAGTCCATACAAGGACTTTAGTAATCTACACGCTTTTCCTGCATTACTCTGTACACCCGGTGGAATTCGCATATATACTTCTCCCTCCAAGTTTTCGTTTAGAAATGCATTTTGATGTCCAACTGATGAAGCACCCAATTCTCATTTACTGCCAATGACAATAACAATCTCACAATGTTTAGTTTAGCTACCGGAGCAAACGTTTCATTATAATCAACTCCAAAAGATTGAGTAAATCCTTTCGCCACTAATCTCGCCTTATATCTTTCAATGCTACCATCAACTTTGTATTTTACCGTGAATACCCCTTTGCAGACTGATTTTTTATCTTTCGGAAAATCAACTATAATCCAAGTATTGTTTTCCAGTGCCTTTAATTCCTCTTCTACTGCCTTTTTTACTTGGGATCTTTCAATGCTTCTTCCACTGTATCTGGAACAATAATGCTATCTACATTGGTTGTAAAGTTCTTAAAACAAGGCGTTAGCTTTCCATATGCAACAAATATATCAATTGGATAATTTCTGCATTTTCTTACTACTTTCCTTTGAGTAATCGACAAGTCATTATCATCAATTAAAGCTTTTAATTAAGTGGAAGAACTCTAATTATCTCATTCATTCTCCAAAGAATTCTCGTTCGATTCTGGTTCATGACAGTGTCTATGGTGTGTGGGAGACTCGAGATTAGGTTCAGGGATTGATTTAGAAATTGGTTTTTGTCGTCTCTTGTAAATCAACAATTTAGATTGTGGTATTTAAGGCGAAGTGATATGTTGATCATGCTGAGGTAAGTATGTTTCGATGGGTTGGTTTGGCAAGGATAAATTTTTTGGGTCTGGTAGTGTTGTTTGGTATGGCTGGAGCGATTTTGTAGGCTGATTCGGCTGGTTTGACTAGTTTGGCGGTGTTGGTTAGTCAAAAGGAGCTGGCTGCAAATCAAGTGACAATTGTTGTGAGTCAACAAACTGATATTCATTATATGACTCCCCTGAGTAGCAGTTTTAAGGAAAAAAGGTATTTTTCAAATAAAGTAACGTACATGGTAATAAAGAATTTATTTGTACGAGGACGATAACACCAAAAGCCTTTTTGAGTCAAAGAATAACCCAGAAACACATACTGAAATGTTTGAGGATCTAATTTGGACTTGAAAGGAACATTGTTATGAACGAACGCAATACAACCAAAAACTCTAAAGGGTAACAATGAAGTCATCGATTTAAAGTTGGGAAAATTGAAGAAAAACATCTCTCAGACACTTAAATTGTAACAGTTTACTAGGGAGACGGTTAATCAAATAAGTGGCAGTTAAAAGGGCTTCCTCCAAAAATAGTTAGGAACATTTGTGGAAAAAAGAATTGACACACGAAGTAAGACGAAGAATCTCGGTTTCCTGAAAGAAAGAACCCAAAACACTGGTAAAATACTCACTACCATTGTCAGAATGAAACAATTGGATAAAACACTGAAATTGGGTTTCAACCATCTTATGGAACCATTTAAATATTTCACAAGCTTCAAATTTAGTTTTCATGACAAAGGTCTAGGTAGTACGAGTGTAATCATCAATAAATGAAATAAACCACCGAAATCCATGTAAAGATGCGACCCGGGATGGTCCCAAATATCACTATGGATCATGGTAAATGCTTTGGACAGTTTATACGGAAAAGGTAGATAAATACTCTTAGTTTGTTTAGCAAGTGAGAAAATATCACAAGAAAAGATTTAGGACTTTTATTGACAAACAAATGTGGAAACAAATTTGCAAGATAAAAGAAACTAGGATGTCCTTAACGAAAGTGCAATAACATAACATCGGTTGAAGGTTCAAGTAAAGGAAATTGATGTATAACATTGAAGGAAGCAGGTGGTTGGGAAAATAAAGTCGCTGGAAGCATGTAAGACCCCCCACAAAGTCTAACACTGACAATCACTTTCCCCGAGCTCGAATTCTGAAATTCACAAAAATCAGAGTTAAATTTTGTGGTACAGCATAAATCGGCAGACAACTTGCTAATGGGGATAAGATTGCAAGTGAGATTGGGAACATTAAGAACATGAGATAAAAAAATGTCCGGATTTATTCGAATAGACTCGTGACCATCAACACCAGAAAGAGAACCATCCGCTGTTCGAATATGAGAGATAGACGAGGCGACATGAAAAGTGTGAAAGAGTCGAAGATCACCTGTCATATTATCACTTGCACCAGAATCCACAATCCAAGTAGAGTAGTAGATTTATTAGCCAAAGTAGCAGAAGGAATTCTACCTGTGATAGAGGCGGAAGAAACATCGGAGAGGTTCGAATTAGGCGAATTAACGAGGATTTCCGAAGTGGCATCCGATGAAGAAGAGGCAGAAGTCATGGTTGGCGGCTAGGGTTAGGGTAAAAAAGTGATCGCCTAGGGTTAAGAAGAAGGATCGCTCACCTAACTGATACCAAGTCGATTAAAGAGTAATCAACACAGTGGAGAAGAGAAAAGTCTTAAACGTATATTGGTAGGTGAAAGTACATCTTTCTTTTATAGGAAAAGTTGGAGTAACTTTTTATTAGAAATGAACTACCTAGTAGTTATCCTTATCTATTTAACTAGTAGTTATCCTTATCTATTTAACTTTCTAAGAGTTAGTATTATACTAAATTACTAACTAATAATTCTTATAGCATAACCTACATAATATAAAGTGAGTGTCCTCCTAAAGTTAAAGGATTGCCCCCTAAATGCAGAATCTTCATAAAATACCATCTTGTCTTGACTGATCTCATACAATTGATCTATTCCCTGAATCTTCATAAAACACTAAAACCGCTCCTTGAATACGACACATTACAATTCATCTATTCTTTCTCTCCCTTTCTTACTCTCCCTATCCCTCTGATCTACCCCGAGCCAAAAATAATATAGAGAATAATAAGCTACACCATTGCCCTAATATTAAAGTGAAATACCAAAATCACTTAAATGTCATAACAATTCCTTAAAGCCTAAAAAATATATTTGATTTATCTCCCTCTCGCCTTCCCAATAAAACCTCTAAATTCCACCAAATCACTTACCACTATGAATAAAATTGTTGTATGGAAATATAAAGATTAGACCAGAAGCAGAAAAGCTCCACAAACCTTCAATATCAGTTGTTTGGGCTCGGCAATAGGGAAACCTTGGTTTTGGATCTTCTTTGTAGTTTCCCTCTCGATATATACAACATGCGGATACTTCTCATCTATTACAAGAAGATTTGACTGAAAATAAAGAGAAAACATATTAATAAAACTAAGCTTTCACGTGAAACATAGAATTCAGAAATATAAGAATTTGTTAAAAAGGACCAATGGAAGTTCATTCTGACGCCGGATTGATGATGTTCTCCAACCAACCATATCTCAGACACAAGTCAAGATAAACATATTTTCTTACAAAATGGACAAGCATGGCTTTATGAATAAACAGGATTGAAGTTAATGAGAAACTTCAACTTCAAAAAGGATACGGTCATAGTTTGCATTTGCATATGCCACACGTCTCTTAAATGCACGTAACGCTGATCTATACGAGTTAATGGAAATAGATATTACCCGATGCATAGTTATTAAGAATAATGGTGCGTTTGGTTCACGGAATGTAAGATTACCAGTGAATATGATTACTGGGAATATTACATTACTGTGTTTGGTTAGTTTGGCAGGAATGTAAGATTACAGTGTTTGGTTAAAGGAATAAAAGATTACTAGAATGTATATTTTACCAAATTGTCCTTGTTCTATATTTATTTTTTTAACAAGTGAAATTCTAAATATTTAAATAAAAATTATTTATATAAAATTCTATTTTTTGATAACATATTACTTAAGTATTTAAATATATCATGTATTATTTTTATTTTAATTAATATTAAATTTTACATAATTTATGTAAAAATATATTAAAATGAGTTTTTGTTATGTAACAAATGAGAAAATACTTGAGTAAGAATACAAATGTAAATTAAAATTCAAACTCTGTATCTTTATTTTGAGGAATTATGATTATCAGTTTTTATTTTATTATAACGAGAACCACATTACAAAATGTAGCTAGCTAATTCATTAAAATCTTCTTGGATGACTGTGTAATCCATAAAAGTGTTCACATGAATTTATTCGGTTGAACAAGATGAAAATACTGTGTAATGAAAGTTCATAATCCTAATCCCACATGAAGATATGAGTTTTTGTTCACTTGATTCTTGGTTTGTTAAAATAAATTTATTTAACTTCCTAAAAGAAGGGAATTACTTTTGTTTTGTTTGTTTTTAGCTTTAGTTAAATGACTAAATATATAATTTACCGTTAAAAAATATACATGAAAATGGGGTGATTGTGATTGATGAGATTCACCAGGAATGAAATACCGAAGCACTCTTACAAATAATGGAACCAACAAAGGCAGCAACTAGTGTTGGGACCATCACAGATCCTTAGGTAGGATAGATTTTTGACCAATCAATGGCAATGCAAGTTGATCTGGATTAGCTTTTTATGCTTTATCTGGGAGGCATATTATTTAATCAAATCAAATCATTTAAGTATTGCTTCATCAACATTATTGAATTGAGAAGCCTGGACCGATTTGGTTTCCTGTCGATTATCGGACGTTTTATTAGTTTGATTTAATTGTTTGTTTGTTTTGAGTTGTGCATAATCAACCCTTCATCTGGTTCTGAGACTCCGCGGTGGCATTATAGAGTCTTCTTTGATGGCATTGGCTCGGAAGTACAACCAGGACAAGATGATTTGTCGCAAGTATGTCGGCGCGTTATTATTGTCTATATGGTTGCTTGTTTAGTAAATCTTGGATCACGAACATCATTTGAAATTAGTAAATCTTACATTTAGTGTACGTCCCATTTTAAGTTGTTGAGCAGCAGCTTCAAATGCAACAACATTATGCATAGATTGCCTTATGATGCTAACAAGCACACCAAGATTTCGTTCCACATATGGGTATTTAGATTTCAACAATCGACGCAATTTATGAGCAGTTACAGGCATCTACTTGGCTTTTAGCGGTAAGAAAATTAACTCAAGTAAAAATACCAATAAGAAATACGGAAAAAGGAACAATATATCTACTAGAATTTGATAATAAACATGAAAGTTCCTACCGATTTCAAGAAGTGTTTTGTTTGGAAATACATAACCAGTACTTTCATCCTCTATACGGGCAATATTGTCTCGCCATTCGCAAAGCCCCTATATAAGCCAATAGGTAAGACATATAAGCTAAATAAATGGATATCATCTATTTTTTCTAGTAAGACTAATGTACATCAAATAAGTTTATCTGAGTTGAAATTAGACATTTCTTATGGTTTAACAACCAATCTGTATGTTATTTGAAAAGTAAACAAAGGGCCACAAATAGATATGAAAACAACAAAAACTTAAAGCAACAATTGCTGGCTGCTCAGCATTGAAACCAGACACCTGCAACCTATATTAAATAGAAGAATAATTATTTAGTTGAAGTTTACGAAATAAATTTAAATTTTGTAGCCTGGGCAAGTAACAAACCCATATATATGGAGATATGAATTCTCTGTCAGGATCTCTTTCTCATACAGTTACATACATACATCAAAACTTCGCTTGTAGACCTGCAAATAAGATAACATTTGCTACTAAGACAATAGTCAAAGATAAATAATAGAAAGCAATCAAGTTCACAGATTCGGACATCCATTTAAACTTATTTTGAAAAAAGAACAAATAAAATTTCAACGCAACCTCGACTAAAAGTTATACATTGAAGATGAACAGAATAACATGTCATGAGCCAGCGGAATGTGGAAAAGAAAACAACTCTTACATGAATGTAACTAAATATTAAGACAATCAAAATCTCTTAGCCAGTGTTATTCTAGAAGGGCCAATATATGATATGGGCATATGGCATGCTTTGTCAATGTAGAAAATGTTGTGAACCATGATTTAAAGCATCATACCTCTACCAAGAGAACATCTAAATGTTCACTTTCCTTGGGCATTGATAGCAATTCGATTCTCATAAAATCATAAATGTACAGCAAGTAGTGAGTGTCTTCTCTAGCATATCTGTCATAAAAACGGTAATAAAAAGGAACACTTAAGAGACAGACAAAAATGGAAGTTCCCTCTTCAATAATTGCAATTACAGTAACAGGACCTTGAAACTTTCTTCAAGCATGGAGAGAGTAGTATTTTACTACACAAAGTACAATCATAAATAAAGAGCAATGTGCTTTTACCTCATATTGATTTAAAAGTCAAATTTAACTACTATTTACATCTTTGTCTTTGATTGTTTTCTTCTCATAAAAACATAAAATGGCAGTCCAGATTTGATGATTAAGTTTTTTTCCTTTTCCGATAAGTTTGAGAACAGGAAAAAGTAAAGATGTCACAGTTAGTGTAAAATTGTTCAAAAGACAGCAACCTAGAAAACAACAAATGTTTGATGCATAAACAATGTCAAATTCATAGGTGAAGTAATGCTTTGTTTTCTCTCTTTTTCTTTTTTTTCTTAAAAAAAAAGTGGTCAATAGCAATCAACCATCTACTTTAATGACAAATGTGAGTGCAGCATCAGACATAATTTAACTAGCGAGGGAGTAAGAGAGTTGGCTGAAGAGTGAAAAAGCAATGTTACCTGAGCATTTCATCAGAAAGTAGACGCAATCTCCAATCTGTATTTTGGTACCTGCATTGTGTTGGCTAATCAACTGTAAGGAAGATGGCATAGATGATGATCAAAGAAGAGAGAAGAAGAAAATAAAAACCATAAAGAATATCAAATTTAGATCAAAACCCACTCTTTGTTGGCTGTAACTCCACAAAAATGTTACAGAAGATGCTCCAAACTATTTCTTTCCAATTTCAAGACCCTTGAGGCCTGAGAAACATGCAAAATCATAAGGGCAACATATTGATAGAAGTCCAACACAACTTTTAACTTCAAATTCAAAACAATCAATTCATGTGTATAGTAATTGCACCCAAAACTAGTTAATTAGATGGCAACTTTATCAATAAGTTCCTAAGAGCTTAGCATCCTTATAATCATCCATAAAATAGTTTAGTTTAATCATCTAAACCACAAGTTAGTTTAATCATCAAAACCACAAGTAAAGTGTGTTCATATATAAACGTTGTACCAAATTCCTTTCCCTTAATTCATTGTCACACTGCTAATTAACCAACAAATAGTTTCATAAAATGTTACCATGGTCCACATAAACTTTTCTTCTTAACATATACCATCAAAATGAAATAAAAAAATTTCTTAAATTAAATCAACAAGTTCATAGAAGTGGGTTGATAGTATAAAACTTGTCCCGTGTCAAAGAGATTGCACACATATATGCCAAAGTCTCGTTGAAGCCACACAATATCCATGTCTGCTCCGTGCATAACCTATTTAAATTAAGGATATCAAACAATGAGTGTACCAGTCCATAGAAGAAAAAAATTACATTAGACCACTTTTGAAGTTCCATTATCAGAAATAAATTTCTTAAGCTTACACACACACATGAGAGAGAGAGAAGCACACAAATGAATTGCTCCTTAGTTTACTCGGGCATGAGCTTTTTAAATTTTAACCCTTTGCACCTCAGTACAGAAAGATTATGAAATTATCCCACAACATACGAAATTCAACACTAGTTGAATTAACCAAACTAAACAAAAAGGAACATTGCGCGGTCATTCTATAACATAAGTAACCAACTAAAATCAGAAATATCATGTTGGCATTTACAAATCAACTGCAACATATTTCTACCCAAAAAGAGGAAAAAACATAGAAGACATATTAAACAAGAAAAAACCAACCAGTGGATGAACAAAACGCTGCCCATCCTCGCTCCTCTGCAACCAAACATGTTCAAAAGGCTGATTCGAATTATTGACAAGTGTTATACTCTTCCTGAGGCTTCCGTATCGTTGGTATATGAAATGGAACCTTCGCTTTCCCTGTCGTCCCTATAGCCAACGCCCCTTGCTTCACCTTTACTCCAGAAGAACTCGAACCCCCACCTTCGATCCCACTCACTGACACTCCAACCGAGTCACTCATTAACCCACCATCCACCTTCTTCTTCTTCTTCCCGTTAACCATCTGAAACCCAATATTATCCAGATCCGATCCTATGAACTGACCCGATGCCTCTTCTTTCTTTCGAATCTTTTGAAACACGTCCATGGAAACATCGAATCGTTCCCAAATTTCATCGTTGATATCAACAAGCCAATCATAAGCTTCATCATCGACTATACTTTCAATATTGTTAGGGAAATTGATCACCTTGTTAGCGCCCCAGGTTTTAGCCGATGCGCCAATGGATTCAAGCAAAGAATCTGATATTTTGGCGATTTGATCGATCGAAAGCTTGAAATCGTTGAAGTTGTTGAAGAAATGAAAGTCTTGATTGGAAGGGAGGGTTCGAGAAGAGAGGAAGAGAGAGGACCCGAAGCTAATTTTTGAATAACTTGAGAACTTTTCGAAGGTTAAGATTGGTCTTCCATTGTTATCTGATCGTCGTTGTCGTTCATCGTATTATAGGGTTTAGGGTAAAGGATCCATTGTTATCTGATTTTTGAAACTAGACTACCAGGAAAAGAATCAAAATCAAAAGCAAAGTAACATTACTATGAAATTAAAAGAAAATGAGTGGTGGAGAAATCTTACCAGTAAAAATTCTCAGCAAAGGGAATTGGACAGGAGCGAGGTCACGGGAGAAGATGAGAAGAAAGGTATTTTAGCCCAAATATTCGGGAATAAATAAATACCTATGTAATATGCGGGAATGACATTCCCAGTAAAAAGGTAAAAAAAAATTACGGTTGGCAATGAGATAATACTTCAAGTGGGAATCTTCCCCATCTAAACATGGGTATAACAGCCCGGGAAAAGAAAATTCCTACCAGTAAAGAAGATTTTCATGATTCAAACGCCCCCTAAGTGTTATGGCAATTGATTAAAGGGAATCAAGCAATTAACACTAACATGAATTTCAGGTCATCACCATCATCAACCATCCTCAGAAGAAGAGGGATTTTTCCCTCATCATTGTCGGTGAGAAATAGATGCTTTCCAGACCTTCCAACAACCAAGTGTGCAGTCTGAGATGCTCTTTCCTCGAGAAAAGGAAGACCACCAAGAAGCTGGAGCTGCAAAACATGGACAACCCAACAATACTATATGCAGCACAAATATTGTATACATAAAATAGATGAAACAAAGAATAGGAACACAATAAAATCAGTAAAGAAGTCTCTGAATATAGAGCTAACACTGCAAATAAAATCAAGTTTTACAGTCAGCATTCAACCATTTATTCTCAATTAGCTTACTTATTGGTTATTTATATCAAGAATCCAGGAATTGCCGAGGACACAGTAGCATCAATTGGTACAGGAAAACCTGCGTGTTTTAAGAAAAATACATGGCACCCACCACCTTTTACATCTTATGAATTGTTCATTAATTTTCCCAATGTTTTCAATACCTCAAAGGAGTCCAAAAATCATCATTTACCTTAACTATTAAAGGAAAATATTTAGCAAGGAGAAATTTTTCAAAAACGAAAAAGGAAAAAGTGCAAGTAAAAAACACCTATAGAGAGAGAGCAGTCTATCTAGGGTATCTTCAGGAAGAATTTTGACATGCAAAAACCTCCAAAAGTGAAAATTTTACTTACAAAATAGATGCTTAGCATTTCAAATCACCAACTTCTGCTAACTTATACTTGGTGAGACAGCTTTGATTCTAGGTTTGTCATGTGCTGGGCATCGCTTGGGTGTGAAGGATTCAAGAGGCAGAAACAGTGGGCTCTGAAGGTTCATATTCTTCTATAGATAGCAGTAAATAAGATTTAAAGACCCATCTATTTTGTGACTTTGTGGATGGAGAAATTTTTGGGGATGAAAAAGTGATCATCAAACTCTCATTATAATTATTATTTGTTGTTCATTATTGACAAATAGAGCAAGTAAATAACATGTAAACAGGTGCAGACATAAAAAATATTAAAGCTAGATAACATGTAAAAGCATGCTACTTACCTGTTTATGTCCCCTTGAACCAAGATGTGGTGTTGCAAACGTTATAAAATTCATTGGTTCCAGTCCAGCAATCCTATCTTCACAAGGCTGCTCAAGGTATTGAATTGAAGAAATTGTGTCCCCTAGATTTAAAGAGTTCGCATTATGACCTGATTGACCTATTGAAGAATGCTCATAGAGCCTCCCTATAGCATATCTTGCAACAAGACCACCTAAAGAGTGAGCCACGAAAGATATCTTCCGTACATCTGGCCTAAGTTCAACAACACCTATTATCTGCACCACAGATTAATTGATGAGTGATATTCTACCCTGAAAAACTATAGCATAAATTTTCATAACAGCAACTCAGAAATTCTTCTTTTTTTTTCCAAAGAAAGTCAAATTAAAAATGGCCTTTTATCAATCAAATAGGCCAGGAAATAAGATGAAAAAATGTATTACCAAAATAACTCTTGAGCTAGCATGTAACACCCCCAACCCGTACCCGACCCGGATCCGAGTCCGATGTGTCACATTGACTTTTCAAAACATTTACTTGCATAAAATAGTTAGTAATTTAAAACTTTTATACATGTAACTTATTCAAAAGATTTCCAGAACTATTCAGAGCTTAAATGTTTTTGCAAAACCGATCAGAGCATATACAATTCAAAACATTAATTACATGCCAACTATTTTCAATGTACATAATACATCTAATTTAAGACATCTTTTCTGATCTGCTCTTCGGTAAGAAGTAACTGACCTGTCTTGCTCCACTTTGCTCTTTGCTCTTCCCACTTCTGTAACCTACGTGTGAAACAATCACACGCTAAGTCTATGACTTAGTGAGACAAATAAACATATAATGTAAACTATAACTTGTAATCATGCATGAACTATTACTGCTATCACTCATACCTTTATTCATGTAACAAATCCCTATAACACATATGCAATATATCATTACATGTAAGAACATATATACACACATATACTCATCATTTCCATCATTAGCCTCATTTCATTATCAATATCATTATTATTTATCTCACTTCGTACATATCCTCTTATACCTAGTATTTTAACCCACATTTGACTCATTTAATCATACAATCCACATATCATCATATAAATCATATAATACAATTCATAGCACAAAATCATACAAATCACATGTAATATGTTTGTTGTTATTTCTTTATTAGCCCATGTACACATGTGAGAACTATAGATATGTGAGTCTATAGAGGTTGTGCACAAATGATGTCACCACAGCTCGTATAAATGCACCTAAGTGCCACGTAGAATTGCACCGAAGTGCCGCGTAGAATTGCACCGAAGTGCCATATAAAATGTCCCTAAGGACCATGTAGAAAATTCCTTAAGAATCATATACATATACAAAGGATCAAGTATGTGTCTCAAAAGACATCACACATGTTCCAAGGAATACATATATGTCCCGAAGGACCGCGTAGACCCTCAACTCTTGGCATGCCAACTATACCCCTAGCTCTCATGACACATAACATGGGCATTGTCATTTATGTCATTTCACATATTCATATATACACATAGTTCGCTTACTCGTAGAACATTTTCATTTGATTCACATTTACATGTCACATAGTTTATATACTTTCTCACGTAGTCACATAGATCCATGTCAAATAACATATATCCAAAGTGCATATAATCACGTAGATCATATCATATAGCTTAGATCATTTCTCAGGTATTCATGTAAACATACATATCGTATCTTATTCACATATGATCATATATAATTCATATAGCACATAGAAACACCTAGAACACTTTCACATAACTTATATCAATTTTCAGAGTTCTTTCATATTACTTGATAACATATATCATATATGTATATAATAGCTTATATCATATCATCTACCTTATGCTCCTTTTCTTTGTATTCCCTTAGATTACATAAATTATGTCATATTTCTAAACATATATCATTTAATAGTATTTTATTTATGTATTAATTTAATCTGTTTACTTAATTCAATTTCATATATTCATTATAATCTTTTCATAGAGCTCCATAGATCCTTAAAATATAACTTATCTTACATATTCATATTGTCCCTTTATATTCAAGTTTCCTAATTAATATAATATTCCCATTTCATTCTATAATTCAATCTTATTTAGTTCCATTAACTCTCATTAAATCAAAAGATCTATTATATTAATTCTCATAATGGATCATATTATCACTTAAGTTATCTCAAAGATCTTATCGCATAACTTATCTTTTATATTCATATAATTTATTATCATATCATATGGTTTATATCATCATAACATAGCATATATTCACATCAACCATATAATACATATATACCATAACATGTCAACACATATAAATCATACACACATATACTTCTATTTATGAATTCATGCATTTTACTATTGGAAATAGACTTGTCGCAAGTCTTATTTCCATTTTACATCATATACTACTAATATGCACTCACCTGGTCACAATGAACACTACCAATCTCTCGTTCTTTCTTGCGTATTTACTCTGATTACCTTTCAGAACTTTGCTTTCGATCGATCTCTACAAAATCGTGCATTGATACTTATCAGTATCCAATTGACATACTCTAATCTATCATTTCTTAGACCAAAAGAAATGTCTATTTCAATTTCCCCTTGAAGTGCATCGATGCACTACCCATGCATCGATACACAAATCACCTTCGATGTTTTAATATTACGGGGTGCATCGATGCACTACTTGTGCATCGATACATTGATGACATTCGATGTTTGTATTTTAAACGGGTGCATCGATGCACTATTGGCATTCAATGTTCAATATTTGAGAGTGCATCGATACACATTCAAGGTGCATCGATGCACACAACCCAGAAATTCCATTTATGCACGAAAATCACTTCTTTTTAGCTCAAATGTTTCATCTATCACCTCCTTTAATCTCCCTAACATACATACACATACTTAGCCTCACTAATATTCATTTATCTCATCTTTAACGTCAATATTCTCTCCTCTTTATGAAATTCAAGAATCATACTCGAATTTCAACATGTTCTAAATTCAATTCTATCACTTCTAACTTCTTAATTAACCCTTTGACAAGTCAAATTTAATTTCAAATTCTACTTTTCAACTCTTTTCCAAAATTTCATTTAAAAACTTCTAATCTTTAATCTCTCTTAACTTCTTCATCTTATGGTTTTAATACAAATTAAGATTTCCTTAAGCTTAATTATCATCCAATGATCAAAACCCAACTTAAATTTCAGCTAATAATTAACTTCTAAGAAATCTTACCTTTGCAAGTTGGAGTTCACAACTGGGAGAAGAAAGAAGAAACTGAAGAAAACTCTGGAGAAATTCTCTCCTTTCCCACGTGCCTGTTACCCTTTTTATAAAGGAAAATAAAAATCTTCCCTGTGAAATGACCATAATACCCTTATTATTTTCAAACTTAATTATCAAATCCAACATCCAAAACTTCCAATTAAATCCCTGAACTTTCAATCTTTTCCTAAATTGATCCTCAAATTTCAAAAATTCTCATTTTAATCACTGACCCGAATTTCGGGATGTTACATAGCCTTTCACCCATCATATCAACACCATCAAATGTCAATTTTGAGTAGTTGCATTGACTGCCTGTACATGAATATCAAGTCAAAATCCCGTGCATGTGCATGCAGGACAAGAGATCCCAAAGAGATGCAATACATGGAAAGAGATGGTATCAAAAGCCAGAGGGGCTTGCTGAATAAAGATCAGACACAACTTTCACAGAAAAATGACTTAAGAAACAAACTGGTTTGACTTATTGAGCAAAGAGCAAGTTCAATCTAATTTGCTAAGGAACTACAGGAAACTGACCAAATAGATAATTTACCTTAAGTAAATAAATTGACAGAAGAAAACTTTATTAATATAATGATTAAGTTTTAAGGTAGAAAAGTATTTTTAGTTGTCTCGATGATACTATAACATGAAAGTTATGAATGGTTAGCTCAAATTATTCTCCCAGTTTAAATTTCACATAAAATGTTGTTGCAAAAATTTAATAAAAAAACATTAGTCGATGAAATTGATCAGTAAGGTCTTTCTCCGACGTAATTCCCCGGAGGATCGTAGTTGCAGGTCATGAAAACACCCTTCCCACCGTCGCAAACCACCTTGGCACACCCGACACCTCTGGTCTTGCTCCACACGATCTGCGTATAATGCCCGCATTCCTGCCCTCCCGCACACGAATTCGACCCATGGTCGTACCATTTACTCTCGGACAGCCACGAGGCGACCGCGTCGGCTGGCATACATCCATCTCCACTACCCCAAAAGATGTTTTCCCCATAAGGTCCGTTGGAGTGCCTCAAATCACAGTCTCGACGCCTTTGGTTGGCGTACCACCGAGCGTAGTTCGCCATCCTTAAATTCCAAACCAACGGTGGCAATCCGATGGCCGCGCGAGCAGCGTTGTGAGGAGCTAAGAACTGTGTAATTGGGCCGAGATAATAGCCCTGAACGGTCGAGATTATTAGGGAAAAAACGATGACAACACGGTTGCTGGCTCTCATTTGTGAGATTTCCATCGAGGAATGTTACCTGAAGGGAGGCGAATGAACAAGAAGAATTCTCAGAGTATATATTGTGAAAGTTTAGTTATTTAATTAATTTGTTCAATTTTCTTTGTGGTAGTTAGGTAAAGAAGAGGTCTGTATATGGGATGTGGCAAGCATGTTCGATTATGATGGCCACATTTGTTTTTGTGGAGATCAAGGTTTCCTAAGGTAATTTTTTTAATATTATAGAGTGACTATAAAGTAATATGTTCATAGTTTATTTAGTTATTGACAACATACATAGATCTTACCGACGTAATTGTTCGAACTCATAGCCTCAAAAGAGAATAATAACGTACAAATTCAACAACGAATCATCAAAACTTCGCCATCCTCATCTTCCCATTAATAGTGGTGTTCATTCGGTTAAAACGGTGGCCGACCGAATCGAATTATCATTAACCGAATTAACCGAACTTTTTTTTCTTTAACCGTTAACCGAACCAAACTTTTTTTGAAAATATTAACCGAACCGAATAAATTTCGGTTAATTCGGTTAATTCGGTTAATTTTCGAATTAACCATAAAATTTTAAAATTTTCTAATTTATATAAAAATTGAATATTTTTTAATTCAAAAAAATAGTTTACAATTAATTTAAATAATATATACTTATAAAATAAAAATTTTGCATGGATTTTTTTAATTCATTAATATTGATTTAGGTTTAAAAGTTATTGGATCTTAAATAATTAATTGGGTTTTAAATGGTTTGGGCTTAGCCCATATGATATGTATAATATATTTAAAATTTAAAATTTAATTTCGGTTAATTAACCGATTTCGAACCGAATTAACCGTTAACTGAATTTTAAAAAATTTATTAACCGTTCCCCGACTGAACTAATTCGGTGGCCGACCGAATTAACCGAACTAATTCGATTCGGTCGGTTAATTCGATTAAAACCGAAAAATCAACACCCCTACCCATTAACATACAAATCCAACATCTTCATTACCATTTGATCTTAAACTTTAGTCTTCACGTATCATCAATAATTTATGGTTTAATTAGAGAACATCTCGCATATGTCCTATTTAATTAACATCTTTAAGTTTAACAATCTGATATTTATTATTTTCCTTTAATCGTTAATATATTTAAAAAAATGTTAAAAAAACATATTCTACAAAATTAAATCAACAAATGATAAATGAAGTGATAGGAATATTGTATACAAATTTATTAATTTTATGATTAAATGCCAACTTAATTACTGTACTATTAGCTTGTGATACCGTATAAAACGCTGAATTTAATTAATAAAAGTTATTAAAATAATTTTAATTTAACTAGTTTAATTAATTTTACATAATTAAACAAAAATAACAAATAAGTGGAATTATCAACCCTAACTTATTCGTTTCTTGTTCTTGTTTTTACGTTTTTCTGTGTAATTTAAGCACCGCCACTACTTCATCTATTTCTCATGTCTCACAAGCACAAAGTAATTCGAAATGGAAGAAGCCTACAACAACGCTTCTAAACACATAGCTGTACTTGCCTTCCCCTTCGGCACACGTGCTGCTCCTCTTCTCAACATCATCCTTCAGCTATCCGACGCATGCCCCGACAAGGTGTTTTCCTTCCTTAGCACCCGACGATCGAACGGTTCGCCGTTTCCGAAGAAGCTAGACAATGTTAAGCCTTTCGACGTGCGGGATGGACTGCCCGAGGGGTGTATGTTTAAGGATGATCCTAATGAGCCCGTAGAATGTTTCCTTAAGGCGGTACCGGGGAATTTCACGGTGGTTTTGGATGAAGTTGTGGCCGAAACTGGTAAGCCAATTGATTGTTTGATAACGGATGCAATTTATGCGTTCGGAGCTGATATCGCAGATGAATTGAACGTCCCTTGGGTGGCGATTTGGACCGGTGGCTGCAGAGCTCTCTTTGTTCATGTCGAGATAGATTTTATTCGTGAGTATGTAGGAATTAATGGTACGGGTAACGGACACATTCATACATATTTCACGAGGCACACCATTTTGTTTCCTGTTAAGGTTACCAATATGAATGTTCATAATGTTGCAGGTCCACAAGACAAGTCACTTAAATTTTTCCCTGATTTTTCTCATATACGTGCTGCCGACTTACCCTGTGGAATAACCACCGGCGATTTCAATGCTGCCGTACCAGCAATGCTGCAAAAGATGGGACTGGAACTGCCACGTGCCACTGCAATCGCCGTAAATTCATACGAAGACTTGGATAGCAAAGTTGTCAACATTCTTAAACAAAGATTCGACATGTATCTCAGTATCGGTCCCTTCAATCTAGTATCAGTCTCCGACTCGCACGGCTGCTTGGACTGGCTGAGCCAGCACGATCTGGAATCGGTGGCGTACATCAGCTTCGGAAGCGCGACAACGCCACCGCCCCAGGAGCTGCAAGCATTATGTGAAGCCCTGGAGGAAAGTGAGTTCCCATTTCTTTGGTCTTTTAGAGGAAACTCTGAGAAACAATTGCCATCAGGGTTCCTCGAAAGAACGAGCTCAAAAGGGAAGATAGTTCCACGGGCTCCTCAGCAGAAAATATTGGAACATCCGTCGGTCGGGGTATTCGTAAGTCACGGTGGATGGAATTCGGTCCTGGAAAGTATCATGGGCGGTGTGCCTATGATTTTAAGGCCGTTTTCGGGAGACCAAGGATTGAACACTCGAACCGTGGAGGCTGTATGGGGATTCGGTTTGGGGTTAGAGGGAGGAACAATGACGAAAGAAGGAGCAATGAAAGCGTTGAAGTTGACACTGATCAGCCAACAAGGGAAGCAGATGAGAGACAAAATTGGACTACAGAAAGAGCTGGCTTACAATGCTGTGAAAAGCAGAGGTAGTTCGGTTGAGAATTTCAAAACACCGGTAAAAGTTGTGAACAAACACCAATTTAATTGACCATTAAGTGATTGAATAACAACACAGTGATGTTTCTTGGTATTGCCTTGCACTACAAGCAATGACACAACCGGTGGGGTTGAGTCATTAAACTTCGCCCCTTGAAAATGGAGATGACTCATTATGTATAAATATTCATGTTAATTAATGGATATATATTTTTTAATATATTTATTCTCATTAGATATAATTAGATAGAGATGGATTAAGGGAGCGGATCGTAGTGGTCGCCCCTTGAAAGTTTTAAAATCCTATATATTTTAGATATTTTTTTTTTTCTATTGAAAGTCTATTTTCACCCCCTTGAAATTTTATAAGTTCAACTCGTAACATAAAATCTTGCTTGTTCCAGCAACTAGATATTAATAAAATATTTTTAATCTTGTTGCGATGAATTTATCTTAAATAGTTTAATTACTAGTTGAAAAGTTTACTTCATAATATTTTAATTGTTATTAATTAAGATAATTGTTTAGATAATTTAATATTTCCTCAATGACTTAGATTTATGTGTATTAAGTAAACTAACATACTTGAGAATAATAGTTCTTTAAGATTTTGATTATTATGTTATTGATTTTTATATAAATAGAGTTGAAAATTTTAGAAGTATTTTATTAAAAACATCACTTCTTTTAGGGTAAATCACATATTTAGTCACCTATTTATTCTTATAGTTTTGTTTTACAATTTTTTTTTTATTTTTTTCCAATAATAATTTGACATTATCTTGTATATGGTGACATGTTAGTATCAATGTTAATTTTTTAATGATAGGTGACCAAAACTTAACGTAAAGTATGATTTTGAAGGAAAAACTAATTAAGTTACCAAAACGGAACCGCGAAAATAGAAGGGTGACTAAATACGTAGTTTACCCTTTCTTTTATATGATATATTTATAGTAATTCAATCAATTTTACTGAACTAAACAAAATTAAGTGATGTAATTGAAATATAAAAACATTTTTTTAATAGTGGAGCAGAAAGAAAAATCATGAACAGGTTAATGAAATTGAAATAAATTTGGATGCCCACAACCTAACTCGTATGGCAGCTTGCTTCTAAAACCGGTATTATTTATTTCTTGTTCTTTTGGTTTTTACGTTTCCCTTCTTTATTTAAGAAGTTCTACTTTTCATCGATTCTCATATCTCACGAGCTTGCACCGAAAGAAGAACAGAGGCAACAGAGTACGCAATACGAAATGGAGCAAGCCTACAGCAACGCTTCTAAACACGTAGCTGTGCTCGCTTTCCCCTACGGCACACATGCTGCCCCTCTCCTCAACCTCATCTGTCAGCTGTCGGACGCTTGCCCCGACACGATGTTTTCCTTCCTTAGCACCCAGCAGTCGAACAGTTCGACGTTTCAAATGAAGCTCGACAAGGTTAAGCCTTTTAACGTGTGGGACGGATTACCCGAAGGGTATGTGTTTAAGGGTAATCCTCGTGACCCTGTCGATTATTTTCTTAAGGCGGCGCCGGGGAATTTCACGGAGGTTTTGGATGAAGTTGTGGCCGGAACTGGTAAGCCGATTGATTGCTTGATAACAGATGCTTTTTATGCGTTCGGGGCTGATATCGCCGATGAATTGAACGTTCCTTGGGTGGCGCTTTGGACGGCGGGCCCCAGGGCTCTCTTCGTTCATGTCGATACCGATATTATTCGACAGCAAGTAGGAACTAATGGTACGAATACATATATTTCTTCATATTTACCTGCTAGTTTTGTCCGAGTTCATGAGACCAATAGCATGTTCTTAATGTTTCAGGTCCACAAGACAAGGCGCTTGATTTTCTTCCTGATTTTTCTGCTATACGTGTTGCTGACTTACCCGATGGAATAACCTCCGGGGAATTTGATGCCCCCTTACTAGCATTGTTCCATAAAATGGGACCAGCACTGTCACGCGCCACCGCGATAGCCGCAAACTCATACGAAGACTTGGACAACACAGTCGTCAACATGCTTAAACTAAGATTCAATATGTATCTAAACGTCGGTCCCTCCAATCTAGTATCAAGTTCCACAGTCAACGACTCGCACGGCTGTTTGGACTGGCTGAGCAAGCACGAGCCAGCATCGGTGGCGTACATCAGCTTCGGGACCGTGATGGAACCACCCCCCCAGGAGCTGCAAGCACTATGTGAAGCCCTGGAGGAAAGTGAGTTCCCATTTCTTTGGTCTTTTAGAGGAAGCCCTGAGAAGCAATTGCCATCAGGGTTCCTCGAAAGAACGAGCTCGAAAGGGAAGATAGTTCCATGGGCTCCTCAGCAGAAAATATTGGAACATCCATCGGTCGGGGTATTCGTAAGTCACGGTGGATGGAATTCGGTCCTGGAAAGTATCTGCGGAGGCGTGCCAATGATTTGCAGGCCTTTTTTCGGAGACCAAGGTTTGAACACTCGAACTGTGGAGGCAATATGGGGATTCGGGTTGGGATTAGAGGGAGGAACATTGACGAAAGAAGGAGCAATGAAAGCGTTGAAGTTGACACTGCGCAGCCAACAAGGGAAGCAACTGAGAGACAGAATTAGACCACAAAAAGAGCTGGCTTACAATGCAGTAAAGCCCAACGGTAGCTCGGTTGAAAATTTCAAAACACTTGTAAAAGTTGTCAGTAACAACTGACACTTAAAACACCAAGTTAATTGATCAATAAAGTGATGAACTAATTTCATCAACACAAAGTATACCAAGTGCATTACACGTGTAAAATTATGAACAACATCAGATCCAAAAATTAAACGAAAATAATTTTCCAGTTTTATTACAACACATCTCCTAAAAGTCATATCATGAGAATTCCTAACAGAGTAGGCAATTTAATACACACCTATAGTGTAGGTGAAAAAAATTAAAGCTTCTTGCATTTAGTACTTCAATTGTGGTTTGGATACTGTGCCAAACAGAGACAGCACAACCACCGGTTTATTAGTTGGTTTACAGCGGTTTGTATTAACCATACAAGCAAATATTCTCCATAAATATTATTTTAATTATTCGATAATTAAAATAATATTTTTGAATTTATTATTATCTGATAATTCAAATATTCCCCAATAATTTGATTTTAGTTTAGCTAATTTTACTTAACAAAACAAAATCAAGTGATATAGTGAAGTCTTAAAACATTTTGTTAACAGTAGAACAACTTTTTTTATCAACCAACCATAAAGCCATACAACTAACTCGTACGTTAGTGAAAATATTTGTTTCTTGTTTTCCTTTCTTTTTATTTATATTTAATATAAAATAAGTGTTTAAATTATATTATTTTTTATATAAGTGTTTAAATTATTTTTTAGTCAATTCAAGCGTCTAACGTAATAAATATTATCATTTTAAATGTCTCGACCGTAATGGTGTTAAAGAAATTCATTACATAACACATGTCACGTTCTCATAATTTAATTTTTTATCTAAAATAGAAAATTTAAAAATATAATTTCTTTTTAATAAACCCCAAAGTTATAAAAATCTTTTTAAAAAAACAAACTTTGAAAGCTTTTATTTTAATCCCTATACCCATGTAGGCCACCACTATTAATTTGTCATCGTTTTCGTTAATCGAACCTCCACTGATAACACAACCACCGGTAAAAAAAAATCTTCACTTACTCAAAGCTAAAGCTAGTATGAATAGCTTGGAGTCTTCCCGTTAACGGATTTATAAGGGGATAAGAGTATCCAAACTAATTTTTTTTAAATAAAATCTATAAATTATCAGAATACGACATGTGTGACTTAACAAAAATTTTTAACGATCGCTATGATCGGAATACTTAAAATAATAATGTTTATAATGTTAAACATCAAAAACTAATTCAAGTACCTAAATGAAAAAATAATATAATTTTAACACTTAATTTTATATTAAGCATTTTATTTAATAACGAATACTTCATCAAATTCTCATGCCTCACAAGCCGCATCAAAAAAGAAAGAAAAAAGAAGTGTGCGAGTGTTGCAGAGAGAAGAGAGATGAAATTCCAAATGGACGAAGCCTACAACAACGCTTCTAAACACATAGCTGTATTGGCTTTCCCCTTCGGCACACATGCTGCCCCCCTTCTCAGCCTTACCCGTCAGCTATCCGACGCTTGCCCCGACGCCGTGTTTTCCTTCCTTAGCACCCAACAATCCAACACTTCGACGTTTCCGATGAAGGTCGACAAGATTAAGCCTTTTAACGTGCGGGATGGATTACCGAAGGAGTATATGTTTAAGGGTAATCCTCATGAACCTGTTGAATATTTCGTTAAGGCGGTGCCGGGAAATTTCACGGAGGTTTTGGATGAAGTTGTGGCCAAAACTGGTAAGTCGATTGATTGTTTGATAACAGATGCTTTTTATGCGTTCGGGGCTGATATCGCCGATGAATTGAACGTCCCATGGGTGGCGCTTTGGACGGCAGGACCCAGGACTCTCTTCGTTCATATGGATACCGATTTTATTCGCCAGCAAGTAGGAATTAATGGTACGAATGCAAACATACATATTAATGTATTTCTGCATATTTACCTGCTAGCTTTATGCTTTAACTTAAAAGAGTACGATTCATTTAGTTAACTAAACTTAATCTAACGCTGTTATATGTACGGTATTTATTAGATAGTTGACTGGTAGGCAGTGAAGCTCTTTTCTTTTTCAAATAGTATAACTGATTACAAGATATATTCGTATAATATTTGTTTAATTTTTTTAAATTATCGATAAGATATACACGTAATTAGGCAAAAATTCTCATATAATGCTACAGGGAATTTTTAATTCCCAAATTAAAGTGTTCATTCGATTAATTCCTCAAATGGGGTATTTTCTACAGTAAATTTGGGATATCTCGGCGTCTTCAGGGTTAACCAATTTTTTTGTGGGATCTCCCGGCGTCTTCAGGGTGTTGGATTATTTGTGTTTTCTACGGTATATTTAGGATTTCTCGGCGTCTTCAGGGTGAATCAGATTTTTTTTACTCCTTGCTTGGATCTCTAGGCGTCTTTACTTTAAATCCATGAAAAAATTTGGCCTTTTTACACAAATATCACCTTAACATAAATTAATTACTTGTTAGGCACTGTTTAAGAATATTTTACAGATCAAGCAAATTTTTAAATAATTTCTATAAAATTAATCATATTTTGTTAGTATTTTATTTAATTATTGTATTATTTAATTTTTTTATTATTTTATTTAATTATTTTATTTTTTTACAGTTATAAAATAGAAAGTGGTCCTTGAATAATTATATTCGGATTTCTCGGCTTTTAAACTTTTCTCTCGGCTATAAATACGCTCTCAACACGTGGATATCTATATTGAAGCAACGACATTCTTCTAGTTTAGAGGATTGATGTGAATGTTTACAGGTTGAGAGCGTATTTACAGCCGAGAGAAAAGTTTAAAAGCCGAGAAATCCGAATATAATTATTCAAGGACCACTTTCTATTTTATAACTGTAAAAAAATAAAATAATTAAATAAATAATAAAAAAATTAAATAATACAATAATTAAATAAAATACTAACAAAATATGATTAATTTTATAGAAATTATTTAAAAATTTGCTTGATCTGTAAAATATTCTTAAACAGTGCCTAACAAGTAATTAATTTATGTTAAGGTGATATTTGTGTAAAAAGGCCAAATTTTTTCATGGATTTAAAGTAAAGACGCCTAGAGATCCAAGCAAGGAGTACTAACAAAATATGATTAATTTTATAGAAATTATTTAAAAATTTGCTTGATCTGTAAAATATTCTTAAACAGTGCCTAACAAGTAATTAATTTATGTTAAGGTGATATTTGTGTAAAAAGGCCAAATTTTTTCATGGATTTAAAGTAAAGACGCCTAGAGATCCAAGCAAGGAGTAAAAAAAATCTGGTTCACCCTGAAGACGCCGAGAAATCCTAAATATACCGTAGAAAACACAAATAATCCAACACCTGAAGACGCCGGGAGATCCCACTAAAAAATTGGTTAACCTTGAAGACGCCGAGATATCCCAAATTTACTGTAGAAAATACCCCATTTGAGGAATTAATCGGATGAACACTTTAATTTGGGAATTAAAAATTGCCTGTAGCATTATATGGGAACTTTTGCCCACGTAATTACTTAAAATCAAGACCTCTAGAATAATATCCCTTTTAATTATAGAAATAACTCAATGGATTTGAGTAGCTTGTTAATTTTCAGATTCAGTTGCAGGAAAAGCAAGAAAACTTTACTATCATAACAATAATATAGCATTATCGGAAAAACTAGTGGTCCATACCATCAATTAATGAAAAAGAAGAAACGTTATTGTCATTTATATTTCATGATGCACACCGTTGATTTTCAGGTCCACAAGATAAGACGCTTGATTTTCTTCCTGAATTTTCTGCTATACGTGTTGCTGACTTACCCGGTATAACCTGCGGGGACTTTGATGCCGGCTACCCAGTACTGTTGCATAAAATGAGACTAGCACTGTCACGCGCCGCCGCGATCGCCGCAAACTCATACGAAGACTTGGACAACACAGTCGTCAACATGCTTAAACTAAGATTCAATAGGTATCTAAACGTCGGTCCCTTCAATCTAGTCTCAAGTTCAACAGACGATGACTCGCACGACTGCTTGGACTGGCTGAGCAAGCACGAGCCGGCATCGGTGGTGTACATCAGCTTCGGGACCGTGATGATGCCACCGCCCGAGGAGCTGCAAGCATTATGTGAAGCCCTGGAGGAAAGTGAGTTCCCATTTCTTTGGTCTTTTAGAGGAAGCCCTGAGAATGAATTGTCATCAGGGTTCCTCGAAAGAACGAGCTCGAAAGGGAAGATAGTTCCATGGGCTCCTCAGCAGAAAATATTAGAACATCCATCGGTCGGGGTATTCGTAAGTCACGGTGGATGGAATTCTGTCCTGGAAAGTATCTGCGGAGGCGTGCCAATGATTTTCAGGCCTTTTTTCGGAGACCAAGGATTGAACACTCGAACTGTGGAGGCAATATGGGGATTTGGGTTGGAATTAGAGGGAGGAACATTGACGAGAGGAGGAGCCATGAAAGCGTTGAAGTTGACACTGTGCAGCGAACAAGGGAAGCAAATGAGAGACAAAACTAGACTAGAAAAAGAGCTGGCTTACACGCAGTAAAGCCTAATGGCAGCTCGGTTGAAAATTTCGAAACTCTGGTACAAGTTGTCAGTGGCAAACTAACACTTAAAAACTAAGTTAATCGATCAATAAGTGCCTGAAGTTGAATAGTTTTAGACTTACAAGGAAACAAAGTAGGAGGATAATAAATTTCGTAGGTCTTTTATGTTAAGAGTTAGAGATGAACATCATTTGAGTTCTCTCAGAAAGCACATTCATCGATTGTTTGTATTTCTGTAAGTTTAATTAGGTATCCTTTACCAATTTGTTGCATTTATCTTGTTTCTATAGAACCCTAAAACGCTTTATTGAAATAATAAAAATCCTGCAGAAAAGCACATTTACTGAGAAGATGTCGAAATCATATACAACTGGGGGGAAAATACAGCATATATATGAGCTCTTTGTTCAGTAATAACAGATATAACAAGGGCTATGTGGAAAATAAAAAAGAAGCCCAGCCTGAAATGACAGATGCATGTGTAGTTATGTTGTATGGCAACTAATATAAGGTTAATAAAAGATGTTATCAGAATATAAATTAAGTAATAA